AATCAAGTTGCAGTTTATGGGGATGCTTTCCAAAGTGCATGATCCCGCATTTGTTGCCATTTTTCACTCCAGATAGTTAAGTTATTGAGGTCATTTTGGATCAGGGGTACACTTTCGTTTAAGGGTCTCAGGCTTATAACTGTATACTATCTTGAGATCATCAGCATATAAGTAGGGTTTCCCAAATGATATGGTGTTACATATATCGTTTATATACATGAGAAACAAGAGTGGACCTAATACGCTTCCCTGGATGACTCCACTAGTTATTGGTCTAGGTGATGAGAGACAGTCATTGTACTTTACAATCTGCTTACGTTCTGTTAAGAACGAAGCAAACCATCAGTACAGTGGGTCGTTTATTCCGAAGGACTTCAGTTTGACGAGAAGCCTTTTATGTGGGACCTTATCAAAGGCTTTTTTAAAGTCTAAAAATAGGACTGATACAAGGAGTCCGTTGTCTCTTTTCAGAGTTATATCATTCAGGTAGTCTACTAGGCATGTATCGCATGATCTTGACCTAAGAAATCCATGCTGGGAGGTCGAGATGAGATTATTAGTAAGTAGATGTTGGACTACAGCCGCCTTAACTACTTTTTCCATCACTCTAGATACCACTGAAGTTATGTTTATGGGTCGGTAATTGTCAACATTTGCTTCAGGTCCTGTTTCAATTTTGGGAATGATATGTGTAGTTTTCCAGGCAGTAGGGTAACACGATGTAGAGAGTGATATCGCAAATAGTTTGAGAAGCAAAACACACATATCATCACCTCCACGTTTTAGCATGCTAGCTGTAATACCATCTGGTCCATCAGTGAATGAGTGCTTCAATGTACTAATTGCTTTGGAGATATTTTGTACATTGAAGTCTACATTAGTAATTTCACAGGAAGGTATTGGGATTGGTTCTGAATTGTCTAGTGGTTTTTCGTTAGTTAGGTAGAAACGAAGGTGTTGTTATGTCATCTATTGATGCGTTAGGTTGACGATAAACAGCCGAACAGTAAGGTAACGAAATTCGACGGCTTTAATACAATCCACACCGAGTCCTTCAGTTTGTTTAGTTCAGGCGTATCACATAGTAGTGAGTTTAGGCTACAGTGAGTGTAAATAAGGCATCCCCCGCCTCGTCCCTTCAATCTATCACTTCTATATAGGAAATAGTTATCAAGAGATATACTAAGGTCGGAAATATTACTGTTAGTCCATGCTTCAGATATCATAATAAATGATGGTTGATATATGGATACAAACAGGGCTAAATCCGTCTTTTTATTGCAGATCGACCTAGCGTTGATGAGACATATATTAAACAAATGGCCTACTAGGTTGAAATGAGTGAGAGTATCTCGAATAAAGTCGTTGTAGCCCTCGCGGGTGTGAGATGGGTTAGAAGTGAGGGATCGAATGTCCTTCAATAGCTCGGTATTATGATAGCTAGACTTAGTGGGGGATGTATCAAATGAGCTAGTGAAGTTGATTAGAGAGTTTACCCAGGAGGAAAGGGTGGGAGTACTTTCTGATGGAAACTGTACGGGGGAAACGCGTTTATGTTTTGCATGTGGTTTGAAATAACTTGAGCTATATGCTTCAACAGAGGTGTCACTAGAGGTCGTATTCCAAAAAATTCTTGTACAGGCCTATTGTGACGTGTATAGTTGTTTGCAACATAGTCTTGGTGGTTAGGTGCGTAGTCATAACTATTTACGCTAGCGTGAGAGGCGTTTGCTGCGCGTAACAAAAGGAGTTGCGACTATTATTGTACATAGGAGTCATTTCTATATGGTGGGTTGGTACGAAAGTGTGTGAAAATTTTTCTTTCTAAGAGCAGTTGCAATTATGATCCTGGGGAATGTAGGTAGGGTGTGAATTGCGAAACCTATTATTACCATTCTTATTAATGGTTTTAAGCTATAGGGGGTGCTTGGAGTGATCAGTACTGTGGTAGTTTTTGTAAGTCTGTGTGTAAAAAGGCTTGTTACGCTGTAGCCCACTACCCATTTTGCAACTTAGAGGTGTTGAAGGCAAGTTGACTGTTAATGGGATACCTATAGAACAGTTGTGTTCAACCTTATGTGTTCCCCTACTCGGTATCGTGAGTCTTGTCATCCCACCCTTTTTAGTCAGAGCTGGAGTCTTTCGTCGTCTCTGTGAGATAAATTTAGGTTTATTCGAGTCAACCTGTGAAGTATCTTTAGGAGGACTAACTTTTAAGTGTATAGGTTTAGTTGGGTGCGTGTTGTCGCACGACTTACATCTTAGTACATTACTGAGCGAGCAGCTTAGATTAGACATTTCGTTATGTTTTTTGGTGACTGTTGGGGTCCGTATCTTATCTAAAGGTTTCTGATCAGCAGACTCATCTAGATCAACAGAGTGATAGACCTTTCGTGGAGTGATGTCATGCTTATTGTTGCAAACTGACTGTGGCGGGTTATTCACTGTAATACTACCATGCAATCCTATCGCTTCACGTTTTCTTACACGACGTTGACAGGGCGTAAGATCTGGAGTGACTTTTATACTTTTGTATGGACTTACTTACTTACTTACTTGATTTGTCTGACTTTTTTCTAAGGCGTTTGACTTTGCACTTAACGTTCAGCATACCGCATGCTCTAAGGCAAATATCCTTCAACTTAAATGAGTGTGTGCGGTCGGGGAGGTTACAAGAAACTGCATTGGAGGAGAACATCACTCTTTTCGTCACTTCTTCACCCACAAACTCCAAAATACACTCAGCTTTAGTGAGTTGCTCAAGATTCCTATCAGTGTCAAGGCCCTATATATGTGTGAGGGGTGCTAGTTGCTCAAGTCTGCCGTTTATTTCGGCTAGAGAGTTTTGTAGTTGACGGATGTCAGTAACATATCTATCAGTATTTTCATGTGTATGAGGCGAACTATTGGACTCTTTAGTTTTTGAAATTTTAGATTTAAGCTTTGGTAGAACGTACTGTCTGGTAGACTGTGCTGACGTTTCGATGCACATGGGTATAGTGTCTTGTATGTCAACCAGTCTTACCGTTGGCATACTGCACGCAGAGATGGAAAGCAGTTACATGGAGATTCAGGTGATGTTAGTGACATTTGTGTACAATGCGCATACTGTTCATTTGTCAAATGTTTGACATTGTCAGGTGTTGAGTCGTCAGTCATAGGTTTTACAGATTTGGACCTTTTATTTGGCTTAAAAGTTGGTGAAATTTCTCTTTTACTGGATTTATTGACCGTGATTTGAAACTGGGTACAGAGCTCGTTAAATCAAATATAATATCAGAGTATTAGTAGTTGTTAAGTATTAACCTGGTTAATACAAGGATCGGAGACTATGACTATATAATAAATTTTAGATCTATTTTAGACTTAAGTCCGAAATCGTAATAATAGGAGCTGGTAAGTATCCGTCAAAACTTTTTATTTATTTTTCAGGTAAAAAGTAACCGATATACAAGATAGGATGATAGTCTCCGTATAATACACCCTACAAATGAACAAGTCGAAGAATTTCAAGACCACGTGAAAAACAGTTATCACTTTCAAATTTGACTTCTCAAAATTTTTTGATAGGATCAACTATATATGTCTTATCAGTGAGCTCAAACGATTTGGTATCAAATCACCTCTAATTGATTGGCTCATTTCATCTCTAAAAAACGACATTTTGAGGTCATGGTTAACTTCACTTTCGCTCGGGCTATGGAGTGTCCTAGTGAGGTCCCCCACGGTTCAGTATTAGGACCTCTTCTCTTCATGATTTATATAAACGATCTTCCACAACGGATTTCGTCAGACTTATTAATTTTTGCTGATGATGGGAAACTTTGGAGAGAGATACGCAACCAAGGGGTTATACTGGCACTTCAGGAGGATCTGACTCAACTTCAAAGTTTGGTAAACGACAACGGACTTACCTTTAACACTTCAAAGTGTAAAGTAGTCCATCTGAGACATGTTGCAGACTATAGTTTCAACTTAGGAAACTCCCCTCTAGAAGTATCCCAATTTGAAAAAAGATTTAGGAGTGCTGGTACTCTACGATTTGAAATCTCACGCTAACTATGACAAAAATGCTCTACGAGCAAATCTTGCACTGGTAACATTGAAGCCCATTTTTAGTTTGTTTGGCGGAAAAACTTTCCACATAATCTTCAACAGTTTCACTCGTCCCCATTTAGAGTACTAAATCAGTATTTTCTCCTTCACTCCAAAAGTATAAGGACTTTCTAGAGCGTATCCACCGGACTCAGATTCAAGCCTTATGAAGAGCGCTTTCAATCACTAAATTTTTATCCGTTAGAGAACAGGCATCTTAGAAAAGACCTTCTAATGAATTAAAGCATCTTTAACACTTCTGAACATCCCCTTAAACACCTACTTAAGTTTAGATCCAACACAAACCTAAGGGGTAACACCCATAAACTAGAGACAACACAGCAGAACGAACTGTAACCACAACTTATACTCCGCAAGAGTTGTCAAATGCTGGAATCAACTGCCAACTGAGCTAGTTTAAGCGACTTCCCAGGAGTCTATTAAGAGGCAACTTGACCTATTTTTAAGGACTAAGGATAAGATCTTACTATAATTTACCAAGTTCTTTTTCCTCTATCATCATTAATATCCCTAGGTTCCTGCCTGGAGGAGTTTTTAACCCACTGCTACTAGACACAGAAGCCCGTTAAGCGGAAGCTTCTTCTATTCCGTCCACAACAATTTGAACCCTTTGAACAGTAAAGCAAACGTGCATACTACAAAACAGAAAAAGCTAAATTAATGCTTTTCTCAGTGATTTCACTGCAGCAAAAGACGACTTAGATATGAGAAAACTTAATATTTGTGCAATTAAACGGACACCCAACAAACCCAAACAATTGAAATATGAAGTGACCGCCTCTTCTCAGACGGTTAAAGGTTGTTGAAACAGTGCGGCGGGCGGCTTTGAATGGGATTGACCGCGCCTTCCCGTCTGACTGACTGACCACCTAATTTAATATGTGATGCCACCATTAAAAGTAAGTATTTCGTGCTTGCGTAAAATGAGATTTTAGGTGTTGTGTCTACATGGATATAGGTATTCTCTGTGATGAAATGTAACCTATTTCTCTGTGCAGGCAAAACTCGGATATTTTTCGCGAAAAAACAGGAGGATTAAGAAAATCATTAAAAAAGTTTTGTGAATTTAGTTAGTTAGATTTGTCACTCTTATATATTTATGTAGAATTTATGTCTGCCCCAAATGTTATGGAATGCTCCTCGAACGGTTAGTCAGAGTTCCATATATCAGAGACCTGTTTCCAAAAGGTTGTGCTTGGTGGTTTTCTAAACCTATGGAATTCTCAGCACAAGAAAGTAGTGCATATGACGCCGGCTTTCGCGAATCTCTATCAGCTGTCAAAAAATACATTAAGGAAGAGGTTTGGAATGTTTACGTATTAGATTTTTCCAGGGTCCATTTGATGGGATGATTGGTTTCAGCCAAGGTGCAGCATTTCTACTTCTGCTACAAATTATAATGGAGCATAAGTTAAATAGTACGGCTCGTGAAAATAATTGTTTACTTTCACCTCATAAAGTTTGTATAAACACCTTATCCGGGTCTTACATCCTACTCGTCATAGGACTTATACTGTATGGTGGTTGGTACTATGTCACGACCACATAGATTATTCTATCTTCTGGACAGACCAAATTAGTCATTCTTATAAACCACATTTTGACCTTGTTGATTATCTGCTTGTTAATCCTGTTTTTATGTGATCGTCTGTGTGTTCGTTGCTTACCCTCTTCATCACATGTTTGTAACTTATTTTTGTCTGAATAGAAATATCAAGTCACACTTGGTTAAATCGAGTTAACTCAATAGCCTTCTCAACTGCGCGTCATTTTGTTTGGCTTCCTCTTCACTACGTTTCTCAGATTGTCTGTCCGGATCAATGGGTGTGCGAAATATACGAATTCGAAATCCATTCTCGTATTTGACATGTTCTATTCTGTTATTATTTAACGTAAATTAAGTCGATAATTATGTACGAGGGTAGCCTGTATGTGTATGTCGATCACGATCATGAGATCTAAGGAGTCAGATCACGGCACCACAAGCACCGTCATGGGATTTTTTTATTTATTTTAGCACAGAAATTGGTACAAGGAGGCACCAAATACATATGCGCCACACATATATCAATTGATGTGTGAGGGTTGTGATACTGCCCAGGTGCCCAAACCGAAGCAGGTGGTTTTCTTAGGGGTCCACACCCCGAGCCTTCGACCTGAAGATCTGATCCACACGGCAATAGAGCATCGTAAGGAGATGCAGTCCCATGGTAGCCGGTGACCAACGATTGGTTCATACGCCATTTGTTCCCTCAGGCAGGATACTGGAGCCCATGTGCACTGTTGGTTTTGGATCCGGTTAAAGCGCCGGACACTCGCTTTTCGTCCTCTCATTTCGTAAGCGACACCCCCGCCACGTGAAGGCAGTAAGTAGGATTTCCCTGGCAGAGGCTATAAACGCGTGGCCATGTGAGAGTATTTCGAGAGGGAGAGCGGACTCTCCCCACTCGGCCGTACCAGGGCGTTTGGGTGATAATTTGACTAGTCTCATGCATGCAGCTATTATACTTAAACCATGTAGGTATATTATAATTACGTTTTTAGTTCCATCCGTGTTCTTGATCATAAACTGGTTTCAAAATCTTGGTAGTCTATGATTATTTTTGATCGTTCGTAATTGATGACATTTTTATCCGTCTTTCATACACTTCTTACCAACGATTTAATGATATTGTTGTCTTCTCACTGAAAATGTCTTTACTTCCGCATTTCACCTGGCAGGTAAATGATGAATCTTAGCTCGTTTACTCACCGTTACATGGTCTTATTGTACGTGAAAAAAATTTTTTATCCTGTATACGGATCCGATGTAATGAATTTCTTGTTGAGAATATGCTGGTAAGAGAAGAAATATCAGTCCGAAAAAGTACCATCCACACCCTTAGACTCCTTTTATTAGTTTTGCAATCTAAGACTACATAAAATAGGATTTGGTAGTTATTAATGTTTATTCACTTTTACTCCTTATTTCTGCCTCTTGATGATTATAAAATCCTGCATACGTCAACGACATTGTCCTGTCGGTTAGTACTAAAAAATTCTGAACAATAGTGGATTTAGAAGGGCGTTATATGTAACCAACTACAAGCAACGGTTTCATCAGTTTTAGTGTACTAATAGTTTAAAGATTATAAACTAATACACTAAATGTAACTATAACTCGTTATTAGGTAGAATGGATCATGCTCATGGTCTCACGAAATGTGTTTTGTCTATTACTTCCAAAGATTTCGCAGATTACGATATGGAACCGATCAAATTCACAATATTGGTTGCACCTTTCATCAGTCGTTGTTCGCTTCACCAAGATATTTATGTTCATAAAACATCGATACCAAGCTTAGTCATCTGTGGCGAAACAGATTCTGTTATCCCCCGAGGTCAGTACAATATTCCTTACTGTGAAAACTTATTCTTACTGCAGACCACCCACCGTACCTTTTATTTCTTACCATCCTTAATCGATAATCAGTCCTGTACATGAAAGCAATTAGTGTGGGAGTATTCTGACAACTATCGTGATGTAACTGTATTGTTTAATATTGGAATGTCAGAACACAGGATATGAACCAATAAGGTGGTCAAATTTGACGCTGGGTTTAGCCGTGTTAATTCTTAATTAGCCTAATTACCAAGATGAATTTACAAGTTGCTTTTTCATCAGTCTGTCAGGCCCAGCTAGCAAGCGACGTGATTTAATCTGTTGATGTGAATATACAGATCTGATCTAATCAAGAAACTTCAGTTACAGTATGTAATAGAAATTTACCCTTTTCAGAGATCATCTGTATACTAATTCCCTCACATCTAACAATCATATTAGTATCATTATGACATTTACATAAAGTTGGAAGCGGCACCCCAGGAAAAGCTCTGAGTTTATTGACGTGTCTAGAGACTCGCACTTAATACATTTTAGTGTGTCGTCTTTACTCAAATATATGCCGTATAGTGTTAAGGATATCCAGCTTCAGATTAAAACATAAGCAGCAAACCAGTATTGATTAGGTTGGAATTCTGTTACAGTAAATTATTCAGCATCAGTCAGTCAGCTGCAACGTAGGACCAGGCACGTATATGCATCGGTCCAAGTTGCCATACCTCATTAGCACAACAAGATGAACGCCGGATTCATAGAAGTAGTTAATTCAATGGTGGTAATATATAAAAGAAAGATTGCATATAAGAAGATAGTACAGGAAGAAAGAATTAGTTCTTAGAAAGAAAGATTTGAAGTGATTTTAATCTCTTAGTTTAAAAGAAGACAGAGAGTGTATACACCGACACCATTGTGATTGATTCTGAGCCGTGTCACCAAGACTCTCCAACCATTGGTTACGATAGTCACGCGGACCCCAACCAGGTAGTCTGAATCTACCAACATGGCTCAGACCAGAAGTTAGTGTCTTCAAGCACTGATGCCACGTTTTGGTTTGGCCACCCCTAACTTTCTTCCAATTATCCCTAACACCAGTAAGCATTACGCGTCGTAATAATCGGTGTTCAGGCATACGCAACACGTGAACCAACTATCTCAGTCGATGAAGATTCATAACCTCACCAACTGATTTACCATCATTCCCTAATACCCTACGTCTATCCTCACTATTACTTACCTGGTGATCCCAGCAGATACCAGTAATATTTCTAAGGCATCTGTGGTCAAATACTAGTAACTTACGAGTATTTTCAACTCTTAATGGCCATGTTTCGCAGCCGTATAGTAGAACGGAACGAACTGCCGCACAGTATACTCGTCCCTTAATTGATAGATGGATATCTCGCCTTCGCCATAGATGACGTAATTTGGCAAAGGCCAAACGAGCTTTTCGAATCCGTGCTGAGATTTCGTCAGACACCAACCCATTAGGGCTGATTAGACTTCCAAGATAAGTGAAGTTGTCAACGCGTTCGACTACTTCACTCCCTATCCTTAGTTCGGGTGTTGACGCAGGCCAGTCCTGAAGCAACAACTTGCATTTGGAGGGAAAGAAGCGCATCCCAAACATTCTGGGATTGTTGCCCAGTGCTACCAAAAGACTGCATTTCATCAGCATCTTCGCCAAACAGGACTATGTCATCTGCGTATTCTAAGTCAATAAGTGGACCTCCTGGCAGGAGATCAATGCCCGAGAATTCAATCGATGAGTGTTATTTCCATTAGTAGATCTATGACGAAGTTAAACAAAAAAGGAGAAAGTGGACAGCCTTGATGGACGCCACTTGAGGTTTCAAAAGCAGATAACAGTTCGCCATAAGCTCTGACTCGACTAGTAGTGTTCGAGTAAAGAGCCTTCACAAGGTTTATGTACTTCTGAGGTACGCCTTTCAATGACAGACACTGCCACAGAACCTCTCGGTCAACAGAGTCAAATGCTGCTTTTAAGTCAAGGAAGACCACCATTGTCGGACGCCGATAAGTATGCCTGTGTTCTAGAACCTGACGAACGGTGAATATGTGGTCTATGTATCCACGACCAGGTCTGAAGCCAGCTTGATTCTCTCGTGTTTGCAGTTCACGAGTCTTAGTTAGGCGTCCTATAATTATCGAGGCTAGTATTTTAGATACTATACTAGTTAAACTAATCCCTCTATGGTTGTCACAGGATGATTTTGACCCTTCCTTATATATTGGGACGATAAGTGATTGTGACCAGTTAGATGGGATGATGTCTAACTCCCAAATTTTAGCTAAAATATTAGTCCACTTAATCGCTAAAACTAGTCCACCATCCTTAAAGACCTCTGAAACCAATCCATCTGGACCAGCTGCCCTTCCTCGTTTCAGATTAACTATAGCCTTTTGAACTTCAGCTAGAGTTGGGGGACCTACTTCAATATTCCATTCACACTGTCTGGGAATGGAGGGTAGTTGTAGAGTAGCTGAAGGCCAGCTGAACTGTTCTCTAAAATGTTCCGCCCATCGTTCTAAACGTCTGGACTGGGAGCAGATGACAGTGTCGTTTCTTTCCGAAATAGTCTGACTTACACTGGGCTTATTAATTCCAGTTTCTTTTATTAGTCTGTAGAGTTGTCTTGTGTTCCCTATAGCCGCCGCCTTTTCCATCTTTTGCTTTCGTTGCCCACCACTGCTCACGGTTGTTCTTTAGACTTTTGCTTAACCTAGATCTGATTTGTTTACGCTCTTCATCGTGTTCAGAACCTGATGGGATGAGTTTTCGAGAATCCATCAGTGCAATAGACCTTGAAGAAATCCATTGGTCCTTTGTAACCCTGTGGTTTAAATTACTAATAGATATCACTGCTGTTTCCACAGCTGTTCGTATATCTTTCCAAGCAACATCTGGGTCAGCCTCGTTTTCAGAAGTACCTAAGTGTGACCTCAGTTGTTCTTGGAACCTACGTTTGGTTTTCTCGTTACTCAGTTCAGTTCTAATGGGTCTTTTTAATGTGGCTTTTTTGCGTCCAATGAAGTGCAAGCAGATGCGTGGTCGGAGTCCAAACAGGTACTCCAGAATGAGCGGCAATCTTCTGTCGACCCTCTCCAACAATGACTGATGGCAATATGGTCTATTTGAGTCCATCGTTGATTTGGTGCAGGGGGTCGCCATGTTAGACGATGTCTCTCCTTATGCTTAAAATTTGTGTTTGTCATAAATAAACGATTGTCTGAGTACAATTGCAGCAGACGATCACCATTATCTGTTCGCTGTGCCGGAATACTAAAATACCCACCTAAATGTCTTTCTGTTTCGTTTAAACTACCTACCTGGGCATTAAAGTCGCCTGCTACGAGTACTATGTCTGAACGTTTAGCTTTCTGAAGTTCATAGAGTTTTCTGTAAAATTCATCTTTCACTTCATCCGAGCTGCAGTCAGTGTGAGCGTAGGCAGTAACGACGAAACGGCAACGACGTGTGTCCCTATCCTTCCGAGTTCTTACGGAGCCGTTTAGCGGAACAGCGCATAGACGACTGTTAACGGGGATCCACTCTAATAGCGCTTGTTCCACCCTCATGCTTAGTGCTATGCCTACACCTGCCAGTCCACGAGAACTAGCCATCGGGTCGCCAGATACACGAAGGGTGTATATCGTCGGCTCTCCGTTTTGCCGAGGTGAGGTCAAGTGAATGACCACGCTAGGATCCTGTATGCGTGTTTCGGAGACACAGCTTACATCAATGGTACGAGATTCTAAGGTTTTAGCTAAGGAAGCCTGCGTACGTTGAAGGCCCCAATGTATAGTTTGGAGCAAGGTTTCAGTAGACTTGGGACAGTGTTTTGCGCACAAGAATCGTTGGCTGTGGTGACACTTGAGGAGGAAGTCCAGATTTGAAAATCGATGTCGGAGGAATAATAGGAATTGAAGGAGGTTGATTATGAATACAGTGGTCTTCAGTGCTGTTAGGGGTATGAGGGCGGTTATCACTTCCTGGTTGCCCACACCTTGGAAGGGTTCTTCTGAAGGTACCTGAAAAGGAAATTGGGTTAGAGGTGATCATAGTGACCTGAGAGCCTGACCGCAGTGCCCAAGGGACAGCTGCTTGAGGTCGGTCACACACGACCTTTTTATGAGTAGTTTTTGTGTTAGCTCCGTACTTGTTGAGACCTTACCGCCGGAGACGGATATCCGTGGGATAAGGCGAGGTGTGCATTTTTAGGGTCGACCTTTTCTAACCCCACCCCTCCTTGTGGAAAGGCAGCATCGCTGTCATGCTGGTTGTCTGAAGGAAATACCTTACTGCTGTCACACCTCTGTACATTCAGCAGTACGACTTCGCCTTCGGACCTTGATTTTGTTGCTTTTAGTCTTACCGCTCTTCAACCGACCTGTCTGGCATGGTAGGACCTTGAGGAACGGTTGTTCCAGCCAGTATAGCTCAGTTGCTTCATCACGATAGGCAAGCCCGACCACCACGTCAAGGTAGCAACAATTGTCAGGAATTATTCAGCATGAACACTATCCACGGAATTCCAATACAATTTTTAGGTATTTTGTGTTGATGACAAAAGCTCAGTTTAATCATTTTTACCACTTTTTATTTATATAATCTTAATAGTTAAATTTATTGCTTGAATCCAGTGCTTTCAGGTCTTCAGTGGTGGTGTAGCTTAGATCAACCCATGAATTCAACTATTAAAATTACTAGAATCTCCACAAACCATTCCGATTATTGAATACACTGAATGAACATCAAGAAATTTCACCTGTAAAACTAGTGCCTATACTCTAGTTAGTGGGTCAGCGAAAAGAAGGGAATATGAGTAGTTTTTTTCTTAATATTGAAGTAGGAACCGCAAATAATTACCACAGAGCAAGGACGAATCATATATAGAAGGCGCATTTTCTGATTTATGTTCATCAATTCCATTTTACCAGTTTTCATATCTAATTTGGAAAGCAATTTTTTTTGTAAAATGTGGCTAATAAACTAAAGTTTTATTTCGATTGTACATTGTACAACTTGGTCACACGCTCGAAATTTTCACTTATTTCTCGATGGATAGTTGACCAGCAAACTTCACATTAAAGTACCCCCCCGACTCTAATTGGAGTTCCAAAAAAAAGCTATTGCGAATCTGAAACGAGGAAGAGCAGATGGATTATTCTTTAAGGATGGTGGTCCAGTTTTAGCGATTAGGTGGACTAATATTTTAGCTAAAATCTGGAAACCGGATGTAATCCCATATGACTGGTCGCAACTACTGATAGTCCAAATATATGAGTAAGGGTCCTGTGATAACCATAGAGAGATTAGCTTAACTAATATAGCATCTTAAATATTATCCTCAATAATTATCGGACGCCTGACAAAGACTCATGAACTAACTGCAAACACTAGAAAAGCAGGCTGACTTTAGACCTGGTCGTGGCTGCATCGATCACATACTTACCATTCGTCAGGTCTTAAAACACAGGCATGCTTATCGTCGTCTGACAATGGTGGTCTTTCTTGACTTGAAAGCAGCATTTGACTCTGTAGACCGAGAGGTTCTATGGCAATGTCTGTCATTGAAAAGTGTGCCTCAGAAGTAAATAAACCTTGTGAGGGCTCTTTACTCGAACACTACTAGTCGTATTAGAGCGTATGGCGAACTGTCATCTGATTTCTCTACCTCAAGTAGTGTCGGGCAAGGCTGTTCATTATTTCCATTTCTGTCCAGTTTTATCAAAGACTCACTTCTGGAAATAACGTTCTCATCGTTTGAATTTCCGTGAATTGATTTCTTACCAGGAGGTTCACTTATTGACTTGGAATACACATATGACATGGTCGTGTTTGGCGAAGACGCTGGTAAAATGTAGTCTTTTGGTAGCACTGAGCAACAGTGCCAGAATGTTTGGGATGTGCTTCTCCCTCTGTAAATGCAAATTGTTGCTTCAAGACTGGCCTGCGTTAACACCTGAACTAAGGACGGATAGTGACGTAGTCGAACGCGTTGACAACTTCACTTATCTTAAAAGTCTGATCAGCCATAATGGGTTGGTGTCTGACAAAATTTCTGCATGGATCCAAAAAGCTCATTTGACTTTTGACAACTTACGTCACCCATGGCAAAGGTGAGATATCTATCTATCAATTAAGGGACGAGTATACTGCTCAGCAGTTCGTTCTGTTTTGCCTAACTGTTGCGAAACGTGGCCATTAAGGAAGGGTAGGAGATACTCGTAAGTTACTAGTATTTGATCACAGATGTCTTAAAAATATTGCCAGCATCTTCTGGGACCATCGGGTAAGTAATAGTGAGGTTAGACACAAAGCATTAGGGAATGGCGGTAAATCAGTTGGTGAGGTTGTGAGTTTTCATCGACTGAGATTGTTGGGTTACGTGCTACGTATGCTCGAACACCGATTACCGCGACGCGCAATACTGCCTAGTGTTGGGGATGGTTGGGAGAAAGTTAGGAGCGGCCAAACAAAAACTTGGCATCAGTGCTTGAAGACACTAACTTCTGGTCTCAACCATGTTTGTAGATACATACTACTTGGACGGGGTCCACGCGACTATCGTAACCAAAGGTTGGAGACTGGATGACATGGCCCAAAATCGATCACAATGACGTAGGTGTATATACTCTTTGTGTTCCCTTACACCGTGAGATTGCAATTGCTTTATATCTTTCTCCGAACTGGTTCTTTCTTCCTGTATTATGTCCTCATACACAATCTTTCTTTTATATATTACTACCATTGAAGTAACTACTTCTACGTCTTCCTTATTCTAGTGCTTCTTACGGCCCAGCATTTGGCATTTTAAACTTATTGCTTTTCTAATCCTTTTCTTGTTGCTCTCTGTAGTAGGTTCTTCTAGTACATCCTGTAAGACTTGTAACTTGTTGCTGAGATCTATTCCTAATTCACTGAGCTTGTTAGCGTGTCGAAGAAATGCCATATCAAACATTTTTATTCCTGCTTAACCGATTGTCCAATGTTTGTTTAGCTTCAGTTTTAATTTGGTCACCACCATGTGATGGTCTGACGCTACGCCAGCTCCTCTTTATTCTAACTTATTCAATAGACCTTTTGAATTGTTTGTTCATGCCTCTATGGTCATTCTTATTTTCCGTAGTGTGGCTGAGTGAGACTCATGTAATGGAAAACTCTGCCGCTTAACACCATATTTTTGGAATCACATGAACCTACCAGTGTTTCCATTCTCGTTCTTATCTTCCAGTCAATGTCCTCCATAATGCGTTCAAACCTTATCCTTTCCATAATTGTCTTTACTGAAATAAAACTACATCTAGAAGAGATAATTGAAGAAGTTTCCGTTAACAATAAACGCTAATTGGACACTATGATTATCACAATTCCATTCTCTTAAAGCTTCAGTAACATGACACAAGTGAAAACTATCAAACTCCTTTTAAATGTTTTATAATTTATCCAAAAATTGGAGTACTTTGGATACTCAAGTCAAAATATACACTCATCGTAACTATCTTAAAGCCAATATTAGTAAAGGTAAATAAGTATTCACATTCCCAATGCATACTGCCTAACCCAAAGTCTTGATTATCGAGATAAGTTCAAGGTGGAAACAAGTCAATCTCCCAAATTGCTTTTAACATCAAATAAACAACTTCTATTTTCATGGCGCTTATTCGTTAACCTGTGTGTAAACAGGAAATAGTAACAAAGCCAGGAATAATCATGGTAGAAAATGCATTTGAGGTATCCCTTTATGCAATATTTAAGTTTTAAAGTGGGTACTGTACCATACTTCTTGTTTTTTATGTTACTTTTATCTACATCTAGTTTTGAAGTAAGTGCTCTTAATTTGTAAATTCTTAAATATCTAAATTCGTCAGTTTAGATAGTCAAATTGATTGGACATCTAAATTATTAAGGTTTCTTATATTAAACTTTCTTTGTATGTTTACAGAAATGTCTGAGGAAGCACTGGATGTATTCTTATCTGAACCAAAAGTATTTGTACATGACGGTGGTCATTACATTCCTACACACGCTGATGCAAAGAAAATATATACTGATATTGTTTCGAAATTTATCAAAAAATAGATATAACTTGCAGAATTCACTTCCTATCATCCTGTACCTGAAAACTCATTTTCTGTGAATTGACTTTTGTAACGCTGTAACAATTTGTTGTTAATCCAGATAATTGATTATAAGTGGTATATTTTTCAACAATTTAAAACGCAAATCAATTTATCAAAGCAAGCACATGGTCAGGCACCTTGATTTACAAGTGCTTTTGATCTGCTTCAGTACCTTAACAAATTAAGTCGGTGACCTGCGAGTACCATAAAAGTAGATAGTAAACACTGGAGTAGGTAGATAAGGGTTCAGACATTTAACCAAGCTGCTAAAATTTGAATGCTCTAACCACTAGCCTATCTCGTCATCGGGTTAAGCAAGTCAATTATTTGAGAGACTCATAGAAGTGCATTGGTTCAAGTCGTCACACTCGACTTCGGTGAAAAAGGAAAAACTATTTAATAAATGATTAACTTTGTTCCAAAAAGTTGTAAACGTTCTCACATTTCTGATTTAGGCGTTTAGAAAATCAAGCATCTCTTCACGGTCTTTTAAAAGGACTATGTCAGAAAATCACGATATAAAGAAACAATGCCAGATAGCGTATAATCATTATCAGTATATCTGTGATAGTTAACCACGACAACGAAGCTTCTATTCAATCAGCTTAAAACTCTCCATTCTATGGCAAAATTATCCACTACTGAGGTATCAATAATACAATAATAAAGAGTAGTATGATCTGATTGTTAGTTTAAAGCATACACATTATCGAACCTTTGATGTATGTAAAAAGTTTACTCACTATTTCATTACTGCCGTATCATATTTCATTAGCTGTTGATAGTATGTTAGCCCAAATCGACTGACTGTATTTTTAGAACTACATTTATTTTAGCTCACTAGTTCTGATGATTCAACTAGTGACTAATATGAATTTTCGATCTTACGAAGATATCTCCTTATAGTTATGTTGTTATTTGAGTTACCTGATTTGCAATCTAGTGCTGTCAACTATGTGTTAATCATAATGAAATTAAATATTTCAGTATTTTCATGTTTGAACTTCATACTAAAGTTACTTTCATTGTTTAATCATTTTTAATGTATCCCTAATGTTATTTATTGTCGATATTTCAAAAAAATAGTTAATTACTGTGGTTAAACTATCATTTATCATAAACTTGTATAGAAATTTATTTTGGGAATTCATCCACATTTTTGTCTCTTTCGTTCGCAAGATCTATTTTTTCATTGACACATTGACAAATCTCTTTAAATAGGGTCTCAATTCCATTATTGCTATAAAAATAATCTAATAAAAGGAAACAAAAACAAGATTAGTGGAAAATCACTCTAGATGTTTAAGCATAAGTGGTAGAGAGTACTAAAAATTGATTTAAACCCAATAATCGTATAGGCCAAAATTAAGTTTCCACTCATTTAAACAACTATAATTTAATCTTTCGGTGTATGAAGGCTCGTGTTCCTATGGGGTATTGACTGTGACTCTGTTATTGTAAGATAAGGTCTTAGGTCATTAAGGAGATAAAGTTTGCAGCCAAATGTCCTAATTCATCACATTTCAGTACCATCGGTGTTAATTCATATAGCTAGTGTTCGACATCGAAGATGACCATCATATCGTAGGACGAAAAATGTATAAAGTTATGGTAAATATTTGTTTTGGGACGACTAGTTGAGCGAGGGATTCTCTTAGAATGAGTGTATTTGAAAAACAGTACAGTGGTTTGTATTTTTGTCGTGGTATTTCCAGACATTAATTATAAAAAGATCATACAGACCAGTGCTATCTCTAGCGACATGCTATAAATTAACGAGATCGAAATGTTAGTTCTTCATCTCGTTTTACCTATAAGATCTAGCTAAATTTTCTCAGAACACTTAGCTCGACTTTACATTGTTTAACATTTGGATACAGTTCAAAGCTATAGAAGTGTGTGTAGAAAATTTCTTTTTAGTTGATATATTTTTTTTAAATCCAGGAAAACTCACTATTAGACCATATCGTTTTATTGAACCCAGTGGTTGTTTAGTTTCAACTGATAATTAATTTTGGAATGATAGCTTCCACTTGGTCTTGATTAAAAATCATGTTTTGTGGATAGAATTGCCTGATATGGTTCTGAAATAATTAGATATTCATATGGCTCACAGCTGGTAATGGAATTGTGTGTTTGTTGCTTAAAACTAACATAATTCTTGAGATAGATTAGATGTGCACAAAGTTTTTATTTATACTAAAACAAACTTGAAATGCTTTTTAGGTTTCCGCACTTGTAATCCACATAAACAGAAAAGCTTATTAAGACGCACGACTTAATTCACATATATGGAGTTAAACTTACATATAGAGTCTTTTGAATACTCCAAGATGTCTAGCGTTCTTAGATATGTTGGCCAAACATATTCAACAAAATAATTTGGTGGGTCCGGTGTATTATATTTTCTTAGCCTAAAGGGAAATGCAATCATTTCATTTATTTAATAACCCTATACTGATACACAACCAAAGCTTAATTCGTCAAGTAATTACAGGATTGTCAAGTACATGTCAACAAAAACACTACGAGATGGGACATTTTTCATCAGTTTATTGTAAATGAATATTCACAATGCTTTCCAATTTAGTCGCAATAACCCTTCTTAGATTGCTAAATATCGAGATTCTCAGGCGTATCGTATGATAATTAAATCTTTCCGAAATCTTACTTAATATTAATAAAAACCCTAGTTCATTATTTCAGTAATTGTAAATAGGGAAGCTAAAGTTGCCTGAAAATAGAAAGTTGTGATATAATCGAAGGAGCCAATTTGACTACTGAGAAGGATTCATGAATTGTTGGCTGTTAATATCAAGAATATCGTATTTTAACTTCGCAGATTCCCATCATATTCAAACAGTGATGTATGAACCAAGGATATTCCTTTTGATAGACTATTCAATTCCCACAGCTATATCGAAAGAACGACCAAGTTTCAGACGAGCACATCGTTTAAAATTTTAGTATGTGAATTAAAGATTCTTAATGAGATAAAATAAAATTGTTAGTGCTGAAATGACTAGTACACAATGTAAACATTAACAAGTTATGTAAGATAAAATAGAACAGCCTAATAATCCAAATAAATACGGATAGCATAAGAGTGAGAGAAATAATCATGTCGTCACAAATCAGTTCAGTTTAGTTAAGTTTATTAAATAATAGAAATGTGGACTGAGTTACAATCGAAGGATTTTCTTTTGAGTAAATATCAGTGATACTAAAACAATCATAATGATGTATTTATAATATCTCAATCAGTAGAAAATAAAATTTATGACGTTTCGTGTCTCCAGTGAACGCCGCTTCAAATAAATAAAAAAGAAGTGGTTAACACTCACAAAATATCAAAAATCTCGCTTTCTACTCATTACGAATAATCTATCAAATGCTCAATTCATTTGAAGCTATCAAGTGAAACCCTAATAATGATAACGACAAACAATAACAATTATAGTACGAATATATGGGGATAAAAATAATGGATATAATATGTGAACAAGATTTGCTTTAAGTTACAAAAATTGAGAAGTGGGGAGATTGCATAAAAATTATTTTTAATGGTCAACATCACAACTGACTATATGACAATATTCTAATTATACATATACCTTCCACTATCTAAATTTAATTATATTGGCTTATAAATTTCTAATGAATAAAAATGATTAGTATGCCTTTAACAATAGTCAGATGTTCCATTTATTCACTGTATTCTTATTTAACAATAAGATCCAGGTACATATTAACGCTTATATTGTGAAAAAATTTCACATCTAATGACTTATTATATTATTATAAACAAGATCATTTAAGCACGATGGATTTATAAACCCTAGTGACCGGTAACAATTTCCATTTTGATTATTTCCCTAAAGAATCTTGGACCAGTTTGAGAGACGAAACGTTAAGATTAATAAAATTTCAATCACTGAGGCTATTCAAGTGTAATTTTTTTTACAAATTTGTTCTAATGCCTACATACATATAAAAATCTATACACGATCGTCATCAGAATCCACAGTTACAAATCCATAATTATTTTGTTACAATGATTAAACTAAGGAATATTTGAATAGATAAATCAAACAATGTTATTCGTTAAAACTGTAAGATTTTGCATTAGTTAAGATCTAAATACATCAGCAATGCGTCATTTGTAAATTTAAAATGATTTTTGGGAAAAAGGGGTAGAAAAACTCATTTTATAATGTTATTTTACGACTGTTTACTTAAACACTTTGTTTTTGAATATCATATCAAGATTTTCCAACTATGTACATTAGCTACACAACTTCTCAAGTTTAAAATGAAAGAAAAAGTTCCTGTCTGAACACATTGGTCTAGAGCGTAAATATTTGACGAACTATAGATAAAATAAACCACACTCATCGTATTCTGCTTTTACTGTTTTAGTTTTCAGTTCTTAAAAAATCCTTGTTTTTGAACTAAAAACTATTTGATGGTTTTGTGGTGTTTGAATGAACTAATGATTGATTTGTACTTGCTGAATACTTGATTTCGAATTCTAAATACAATACATTCCTTAGTGCTTGCGTATTACTTCTTGATTCAATTGCGTTATTTATGTGATTCTTAGTTCATACTATAATTCAATTACTCCTAATTATCATAGGTTTATGTGTGAATTTCTACTTATGGTCGTCGTGAATATTAGTAGTTAGTATTTTTACACATCTTTTTAAACATAACTCGGTTGAAATTTATTTGTTTACTATTCAACAGTTTCACATTCACGTAGAAAATTTGGACATTATTATATATGCTTTTGTATAATCGTATTTCATATAAACTTTTGATTAGTGGATAATCATATATATATATATATATATATATATATATATATATATATATATATATATATATATATATATATATATATATATATATATATATATAATCCGTTCACCAGTTAATCTGGTATATTTTATTCGA